GATCACGTGGGCCAAGCTTTCCTCTTCAGTGGCCAGCCCAGCCCTAACCCTTGTCAAAGGAAAAAGCTAAGTCACTTGTGTAGATAAAAAATTCTGCTAATTGTACAGTCTCTGTTCCCCTGCCAACTACCCAGTCATACAAGAGTGATCCAGAATATCTATCTTTCTAATGAAGGATGTGAAATAATATCAAAAGTAGCATTAAAGCTTTGCAAAAAGTTTCTAAAATAAAAGATTTTGCAAACAGGATATTTTGATTGCTAGACAAGTCTCCTAAATGCATGGGGGTTGAATGAGATATGTTGCTCCATCGCTGGATGTGTTCAAGACCAAGTTGGTTGGTGCTTTGAAGAACCTGGTCTAGTGGGAGGTGTCCCTGCCCATAGCATGGAGGTTGGAACTAGATGATCTCTAAGGTCCCTTTCAACCCAAACCATTCTAGGATTCTGTGTTGATTATGGAACAATTTAGTATCTGTTATTTTGAGCACATATTCAGAGTGCTTAAAAACACCAGAGAAAAGCAATGTTTTGCTATCAGCAAGTGTGCCACACACTCACCTCTCCCACATCTTGCCTCTGTCTTTCCTTCCCCTCAAGCCAGGGAATTATAAACCATAATTTAAATTCCAAGCATCAGTAGTAATTTTGAGTAAAAAGAGACAGGTTGTTGAGTCTCAGCTTCATGTTAGACCAGAAAGGTATGACTTGATCAGTTTAAATAATTCAGTACTAAAGGGTAACCAACCACTGCTCCTGAAAATAAGATGATAGAAACCAAATAATAGATGTTGAGGGGTTTGTATTGATGCACTCGTGAAATAAATAAATAAATAGCAAGATTTTGATCCAAACAGTTTGACATTCAATTCTGAATAGCGTTAAAATGAAAAATTTTGCCATACCTGACAGGTACACCTACATCAATCAGTTATTAAGCATCAGCATTTTCATCCTACCCCTGTCATGGTTTATATAGGTTATTGCTCCCCATGTTGGTACAAGCCAAGCTATTTTTGATAACGACAAGATAAAGTGTTAAAGGATGTGTCACTAACTGATATTATTTCTTTGTTGTTGTCCAAGTATGACACTTGAGAGGCTTAAAAGCTAATGCCTGATTCTTTCATTAAAATCCATCTCAGTATAGGTCTCTGATTTTATTCTCCTAAGTGCATGAAGAGGTCTAAATACGATGATGATAAACATTTTCCATTTTAAAAAGCAGTAGTTCCCTTGACTCCATCTATTTACCCCATCTTTTCTACTTTAGGTTTAAAAGTGATGGGTTCAAGGCTTTTGTTTTTTTAACTCTTTGGTTTACCAAAAAAAAAAAAAATTTGTGTTTTTTTTCTGTAAGTAAATGTATCTTTATAGTTTTGTTGTTTCTTTTCTTGAATTCACTGTCCTCTTAATTTTTTTTCTCTGTGATGAAATTATCCTGGGTTGGTGTGAAATTCCGAGGCTAGAAAGGCAGATAACCAATCTGTGACATTTCGTGGTTTATAATAACATTCTTAATCTGTTCCAATCTTATCAACTATAAGATATTCAGAAATTACTTACGTCTTTGCCAAATAAGAATCAGGGTTAAGAAGCCACACATTTCTAGAAAATTATACTGGTTTGTATTTTAAAATAACAACAAACCAAACAAGTAGCAACTGGACAAACTAGAGAGACTAGATGTTATTCATCAGATAATATAAACATTAAGTACTTTTTTTTTTTCTTTTGTCTTTTATATTATTTTATTTCATTGCTACATTTTATATAGCTGATTTGGAGATAGAGGAACGACTCAATTTGTTACCTGGAGTATTTGTAGGAATTTCAGTAACTGTTTAAGTCTCAAGCATCGGTGTGTTATACACTTAGCGGGAAATGAAACATGTGCAGGTTTCCAAGGCAGCAGATGAAATGAGCCAACTTTACCATTGTTCTGACTTTTTCACAATGTCACTGTCTTGGATTTCACATCCAGATAGAGATGCTGTGAATAAATTCTATGGGTGAAGAAGCAGAAAATAAGGAGGAAAAGAGGATTTGCCATGTGGATTCATTATAACAATGTGGAAGACAGAGTCTCACACACACAGGCTTTCCTTACTCCCTACGGGATATCTATCTGTAGGCCTCTATCAATTTCTAGGAGATTTTCTATGTGAAAGGATCCTCCAGTCAATTTCAGTGTATAGCTTGTTTTAGATTTATCTTTCTCTTACATCTTCTCTCTTCCTCTCCCCTTTTCAAACCTCTGTTAAAAAGGATGGGGGTAGGGCAATAGATTAAAAAAAGAGAGAGAGAGAGAGAGAGAGAAAACAATGAAAACAGTGTTATGTCAGTAGCCTCAGAAGCAATTTATGAAAATACCAAAATACCATTGCTTCATACTGACTAAAAATAAAACTTTCTGTCTTATTCTTGCAGCTCATGGAAGAAACAGGATATTTATGCACCCATTATTCTTCCCATACATACAGCAGTCTCATCATTGAGGCACATGATATTTCAGGCTATGTCAGACTAGCAGAAAGGAAGGAGCAGGAATCAGGTATTGGAGAACAAGAGAGAGATACCATCCTGTCTCAGCAACAGTCTCAGAGACATGAACTGTACCGTATGTGTAGGCCTCAATATATTTTAAAATGGGGAAGCAGGTAAAGAGCCCCGGTGAATTTGAAAGTTGGACGTCACTCTGATACATGCTGAGAACAATTCCCCCTTTATCTGACTAAAAATCATGTGAACCAAGACATAAATATACAGGCCATAAAGCTGCTCCTTTTAGCTCTGATTTTTAACGTAGTTTTCTTTTCAGTAAAAATTATCATACCTGCAAATCACCTTGGTAAGGCAAATGAAAAGAGAGGAAAAGAAAGCCATTAATGTTGTGCTGTGAGGTACTATTTCCAGGGTCACTAGGAATGTTATTAGAGTGTTTCAGGGTGCTGTGGCTCTTCCTTCCAGTTAGATGTTAAATATAGGTCTTTATTAGCCAAAAGGCACTTTATCCACAATTCATGAGAAATGAGATGACGTTTGTGTAATACAGGGTAACACTTTAAATATTTTTCTAAGTGTCGCTGATTCTGTCACCCCGATCTGGAATAAAACGTGTTGAAATTGCATTGTAAACTGCTAAAATAAACCGTGTGGCTGGCCAGGACTGAAACTACCCTTGTGTCTTTAAACTCAGTATTTCTCCAGAATCAGTGTAATTTAATTGAAATAGCTCTGCATGTGTAAACAACTCCTTTGTTTAAAGAAGATTTCACTGTTTAGTTTGCCTTAAGTAAATGCTGCCTTTTGTTTGTCTGTAAAACATTTGATTAAATGTAAAGACTTACATAGACAGCTTCTCCTCATTACACTAGTGGCTGGAAAATAAGTTAAAATGATGCAGGTATTTGCTGCCTAAGGAATTATCAAACAATATCATTTGTCTTTAAAAGCAAAACTCATGGAAACATCTGAAGTCTAGTCCTAAAATCAAACTGCAAGCCTCCTAGAAGATTGTATTTAATGAAGTGTTGAAAATGTTCAATATAGCAGACTCTTTTCTTGCTTTCTTTAAAAACATTTTCTAGTATTTTAATTAAACTCCACATTTCTTACATGGCCAAGTACTTTTAAATACATGCCTTTTTACTGAATTAGTGTTCTAATATAAGTACCCACAAGTTATAGTGATCATAATGGTATTAAACAACAAAATAAGCAAGAAACTAGCATATTATAGCATAATTTTCTTCACTAGCTGAAATGGTTCTGTAAATGATAATTGTTTTAATGTACTCTAGACAGGGTGAAAAGTAAACTATATATTCAAATAACTGCATTTACTATTGAAAAAAAAAAAAAATGTTGAAACCAAAAGCTCATGTTTGGTCCTTTCTTCTTTGGAAGAACTCTTAGATTCCCCTTCAGAGTAACCAAACAGAATTTAAGTCCAGTCATGAAAAAAGCAAACAAAACTATTTTTTCATGTCAATGGGATCACTCAGAATGCTCAAGCCATAATGAAATTTGCAGATGTATATCTTTATGCTTATAGTTTACCTTTTACTTGTTTTTTCCAGAGCATAGTAAGTAGAAATGGAACAGCAACTCACAAAACATGGAAGACAGGATGTTTGTTAACCCTTTAAAGTGTGATGTGCAGTTGGGTAGAGGTTTTTTGGTTGCTTGAGTTTTTTATGTACTTTGGGAAAGCTTTTTCAGATTCAGCATAGGGATGCCAAAGGAGAGACAGCCAAGCATCCCTCATTCTCAAGACAGTCAACTGCTTACAATGCAAAGGGTGAAATCCACGTTATTTCTGACTGCTCTTACTCAAACTAGATAATCTATTATTTTTAGTATTTTGTAATCTTTCCTGAAGATTTCAAGTTAGGTGTCAGTGCTGAACAAAATCTCAAAAATGCTTGTTAAGTTAAACTTTAGGGGATTCATCTAGTCAAATTCAAGAGATTTTTAAGTCCTTAGGTTAAAATGGGATTAACTGCTACTGGTAAGTGACATTAGTATTAACTTTTGAACAAATGTAAATATGTTGTTATCGTTCTTAAATAGCTCAAGGTTTTTTAAATTACGCAATTCTGACAAAGGTCTCTTATCAGAATATAGATCAGTACTGCAGTTAGTTGTAACTTCTTCCTTGATGGAAAACTGAGATTTATTCCTTTCATTCTGAGTTGGATTATGTAAAAGAGAGGTTATTTGTAAGTAAAAGATCCTACCTTTTGCTCCCATCCCAAAAACCACACTGTAAATTCCCTTTTCAAAGGTAAGACTTGATGATGATGCAGAATTTAATCCATCTTTTTTCAAGGTTCATTCAAAAGATGCCTACTGCCATCAATAGCAGTTGAAGTAAATTCCTATGTGGAAGGCCTAGGAATTCCTGTACATTAAACATCAAATAAATGCTCTTACTTGTTTGAACCAGGTACACAACTATACTTGCATTCTCATATTTTATATGTCTCCTTTGATTAGGCAATGCTGGATGTTGCAGCACATCACGGCTGGCTGGTGACTGCTCTGAGTATAACCAACCTGGTGCAGATGATAGTTCAGGGTAGATGGATACATGATTCTTCCCTGCTGACTTTGCCCAATATAGAGCTGCACCACCTTTACCTTTTTCGGTATGTAATTCTTCTAAGCATTTGCAGGTTTGTAATTTCATTCCCATTCTGACACCTGATTGTGGTTTTAATGTCATTTTTGCGCCCAAGAATGTTCATTAATGCACCAGAAGCAGAACTCGTTCCTTCACAGTGGTGCTTTCCTAAACGGACTTTCTGTTTCTGTTTTCAATATTCATTGATCAGTCAACCCCCACAGATAATTTTGAGAGCCATGATTCCAGATAAATTAACACGAGGTCACTGGAAGTATTCCAAGTCCTAAAAAATCTAGGTCTGTGTATTAGTTATCTCTTTATTTTAATCCATTATATAAATACATTAGTATCCATCTTAATATCATAGATAATGCTAGGTTCTGTAGATGCGTAGATGGTGCAGTAATTCATTTTACCCAAAAATAAATGACCACATTTTAATAACAGAAAGCAGTATCAAGCTTTACCACCAAAACAACAGAAAACAAATGTTTGCTTTCCTTCCCTGGGCATATGTTTTGTTGTCTCTATCAGGAAGTGGAGCCAGGGCAAAAGGAAGAGTGTGCATGGAGGTTACCAAGGACCTATTGAGTGTCTTCCCGAACTAATGGCTGCCTGCGAAGGAAAAGAGAATGTTTTTGCTTCCATTGTGGACAGTGAATTGCAAGCAGCACACATTTCACAGGTAATACTTTCTATCTCTGGTCATTATTAATGTGATGGGAAAAGAGGAGTAGTTGGGAAGAGAAATGCTCTCTTCCCTGCAGCAAATATCACGTGATGTTCTGTATAAAGTGCAACACGTTCATTGCTCTAATTTCAAGGTACTACTAGCTTTGCAAACGTTCTTTTCTGCCTGTTTTCTTAGTATTATTTTCAATTATTCACTGCTGTCCAGTGCCAGTGTCTGGTTTATAGCTGATATTACCACATCTCTTTGCCCTGAAAATGCTTTTCCAAGTCGTTCAATCTGCTGTTACCCACCTTTTCATAGCCAGCTATGCACTAGGAGCGCATGCACTGCAAATGTCATCATAGCTGGTTTTTGAAGTGGTCTGTCATCATTTTTTCTGAGCATACCCTTAGTAAAAGACCCAGCATCCAGTTTTTTTTTTTTTGAAACAGAAAAAGCAGATGAAACTCACACTTCACAGGGGGAAAGAAAAAAGCTACTACTCCAAAACATTGAGACTGTTAGAGTCTTATTTTCAGTTTGATTTTCGAGCCATTCCCAGCAAAGGACAGCTACACTCCATAGTATTCATCACATGCTAAACCTTATTGATTTCAAGTAAATATACGAAAGGTGAAAACTTCAAAAGCTATATTTGAAATATTTTTTAATTTGAATATTTTAAAGGACAACAATATGTCCTGCATTTGATTGTTCAGCTTCAGTTAAGCCTTTTACTGGTATGCAAGCAATAAGAGAAGTGCTTAAATGTCTATAACAGACATCTGCATTTATAACTAAATTAACATCAACATTTTGAATTAAGAAAATGTATTGACATCAAAACAAGGCTTCCTTTAAGAACAGATTTCTAACATAATACACATTGATTCCAGTCCAACTTTTAGAAGTGATAAAAAATAGAACATTGTTATAATTAGTTCAGGGAGAACTCAGAAGTAAACTTACTTAATTTATTTGCATAAATTGCCATTCTGTTATCTTTAAAAGCAAATGCAAATTGTCTCTGTCTGATATGATGATGGTTATTTGGCTCAAAAGTGCTTCAATTTGCGTAGCAATCTGGTGTCGCCTCTGCAGTGAGGCGATCCCAGGTAACATACAAATCCTGAATTATTCCAGAAATTAGTATGTTTAAAGCATCAATTTAAGTGCTAATTGCAGTAGTAATGAGAAAAAGCAGTACTACTGTGAGATTTGCATCTACTGCCCCATCAGTATGCCTGGAACGGCTGCTGACTGGCAGAGGATTTGGCTGCTAATTAAATAATTGTATGCATGGCAGTGTTCTCGTCTGATTCAATAGATGAAGATTAATCCTCAGATAAATATGTTTGGCTGGTATTGAAATGTCTTAGCAGTTTCTTCAAAAATAGCGGGTGTGTATGTGGTGTGTAGATTCATGCTGGAATGACTCTGTGTCTCTGTATGTCTGTTTGTAAATAAAGATGCATATAAGAGGGGAAAACGTCTATCTTAACATCATACAAAAAGAAAGATTCATTTCTGCAAGTTGGGAATGGCTGAGTTTGGTCTAGCAAAGCCGTGACTGTATTATGCAGGTCATGGAAAATGTGAAATCTTTATGCCAATATTTTATATTCTTTATGGCAGTTTTTCGGGAAAAAAAGTAAAAAACCCTATTGTAATACCTTGCACAGAGTTAAATTTCATATTGATACTGCCAGTTGAGTGTCTTGATACGTAAAGTCTTTCAATGCACACTTAGATAGGGTCCAACCAAGAGAAAAAATTTTCAATAAGGAATGCATCTTGATGAGATGTTTTCTATAAAAACAGAAAATAAGAGCCCAGAGTTTAAGCCTGTAATGGCACCAGACCTGAACAAAGTCAAATAAAGAGGTAAATAAACCACTAAACTGCCAAACCCATTCTTTTGCTAAGAAATCTTCTACTTCTCACTCACAATATATTGAACCTATATCTTAAAACTGCTACTAGCATGAAATTGGTAGAACCAGCTTGAGCTTTACATAAATTTGATACAGACTGGAAAAGGTAAAACTTTCACATTTGGAAAGAAGATAATGTCTTTTAAGCAGATAGGTAATTATTTTTTAAATAGCAGATCTTGAAACTGCTTGTAGATTTGGAATATTAGGCTAAATCTTGGGGAGACAGATTATTGGCAAAAATGCTAATGATGTTATCAAAGGTTCATGAAAAATTTCTCATATGATTATGATTTGAATCTATAGGTTTAGTGGGTAAGTTTATATATAGTATATTTGTACATGCACACATTGGGCATGGTAATGTATCTAAAAGGAGATAATATGTGCTTGTGTCATCCTATACAGAAAAAAAACAGTAACATTGTCAATAAATAAATTAGTGATGTGGAAATCTAAGTTTAATTTTCCAAAAGTTAGTTATAATCCTAAACCGTACTGAAAGGCAGTGGGGCTTTAAAAGCTGGCAGGCTAAAATGAAAAACTATTTAGACTGTAACCCTGATCTTTGGCCTAAGCTCCTTGTTTGCTTCAATGATTCATTCTGAATCATAACAAATCTTTTTCAGTTTCTAAGTCACTTAGGTATTTAGGCATCTTTCAAAATACTAAGCTGATATTTATACTATTGAAAGAGAAGAAAGAAATCTGAAGGCTGAAATAAAATATTGTCCTTGCTGTAGTAGTATTAGCTGATTTTGCTCTGGAAGTATCTGTGTTCCTATAATCTTACCTTTTCATTGTCAGCTGCTACTACTACTTTTTTTTTTTTTTTCCTCAGTAAGAAAAGCATTTCTTCATTTTCTCCACATTGCATGGATGATAAAAAGGCAGCCTGCTGTCCATACTGTGTCAGTGATCAAGCAGGACTAACTTCGCCTTTAATTTTCAAATACACAAAGGCCTAGAAAACAACTCATTACAACTATTTTTTCATCTAATTAGAAAGTCAGAGTTACTTTGGTTTGTTTGCACTGTCAAAGCTGAATAAGGACGTGACAGCCTTTGATAAATAATAGAGTATGTTTGGGTTGTACAGCATGAACCAGACCAAGTCATAGACTTCAGCAGAGCTACGGGGAATGGCACTGAAGGAATTAATAAGTTATGATCTCTGCTGAAATTAAACTTGGTTCTAACATAATCATAATAGGTCTTGTCCTCCGAGATAGTACACATAAAAGTGTTCTGGGTAAACGATGCCTAAATTACAACCAAAGGGGTGATCATGGGGTTGCTGGACATCAGGGTGCTTCTCCTGGACTCAGCAGAAGTGCTCTGCTTTGGTGCACAGTCTCACACAGTAGGTCTGTACAGTTCCTACCGTAAGCTTCACCTTCAAAATCTTTACATTAAACATAAAATCATTTGCTTAAGGTGTTACTATTCAAGATGTCTCATCTAGTATGATCTGCTGGAAGTCGTTTTAGTGTCTTGTGTGTTAAATGCAGCAAAGTCCTGGCAACAACTAATTTATTAAGAATGTCTGTCATGCTTTTTCTCCTTCTTCAATGTGCTGCCCTTTCTTTTTCCCTTTCAGAGCTGGGACAAAAAGGGATATCCTTTCCCTTAGCATTCCAGCTGTTCGATGTTTTTATCATTTTCCTGGTCTTTCTTGGGTAAGGCACTGTTAAGACCATCAGTACAATTCCTGGGTGTCCCCGGATTTTATGCTGCAGCTCCCGAGTGCTCACATGCAGCTGCCCTCCCCACCTTCTCCCTGGAACAGGCACAGCTCCTCACGCAGCATGCAGAAGAGAGGAGACAGAAAGATTAGTTCTTAGCCTAAGTCACTCTTCTCCTTTGGTTCAGGCAGGCTCTGGTAATGCAGCCATTTTAATCCAGCATAAGTCTGCGCTGCAGCCAAAATAGGCAGTCCTTACCCCCCTATCCCCCCCATGCCATTTTCACTTCTCCTGACCTGGCTCGTTGTGCAAACGCTGTGGCTGGTTCAGGCAAGGAGGTGGGAACCAGCATCTGGGGACGAGGGGAGGAGGAATCATGTCAACCCTCTCCCTGACAGTCAAAATGGCCTCTAGCCAAGAGGCTACGTGATTGCCTCTGCCAGCAGGGGAGGAGGCCGGACCACTTCTTTACCACTTCTTGCAGTGGCACTGAAGGTTCATGCTTATTCAGAGTACTCACGATTAGAGAATATGCCTCCACAGTCAGCTTTAAGCTCATCAAGTTCATGCTGTCACCAAAATGATTAGCAAGCTGATCCATCTAGCTATACAATCGCAGCATGGTAGTGCCAAGATACTGGGGATAGAGACGGGGACAGTTAGCTGGTGGGGAGGGTGCTGAAGAGGAGGGTGGCACCACCTTTTCTGTGGCAGTGAAGCCTTAGGTCTGCTGTATCTCTAATTATGTATTAACATATACCATTACTGTCAGTATGAATCACAGCAACAACGCTTCCAAAAAGCAAATTGTGCTTTTACTAGGGCTCTAGCAAAGAAAAAGTAATCATAGACACATCAAGCACAGCCTGAATGAAAATAGATTTTGCTGAAACACAAGATGGGCAAACCAATACATGAAAAATAAAATATACTTTAGGACTTTTTCTGGATATAAACATTTTTCTTCCAAGCCAATATTGCCCAGGCGCCAATGCTGCCCTCTTCATTCCCACAAGTTTCCAATTTGACATCTGCTGGCTCTTTACCAAAATCAATATTCTTCTTCTCCTTCGTATCCTCTAGTTTTTTCATATATGTCATTGGAAAAAAGGGGTGAAGTGCTGAATCCTGTTTTGTTTTGGGGAAAGAGGGCAGGGCAAAGGGTGGTTCTTGGTCTTTTGGATTTTTTCTTCCAGTGCCAGCCTCATCTATCTTTTCCAACCACAGTAAGGCCACAAATGACTGCCTCCATTCCACACCCCATTCTTCCATTTCTTCTTCCTAACAGATTTCATTGAGTGAACATGCTGATTTTCTTTTTACTAAATGAAAGCCTGCATTACTCCCCTCCATTTTTGTCACAGCTTCTCAGAACTGCTTTTCCTTGTCTGAGACACCAAAATGGGAGGTATGTAGGGCTGCACTTTCAGGATGCCTGTTTAAGGTTGAAGGGAGCATCGTGTTCAGCTACAGAAATTGTATGCCTCCAACAACGGTTCTCTGTACCAGGATGAGAGAACACTGAGGGCCTGTTGCAGTTCATGAGAAACCACAGAGACTTAAGATTCCTCAAGAGGACTGTAAGAAGGAAGGTTTGTGAAGATCGATGCAGGAAAACCTAAAAAAAACAACCACAGAGATAACTTTGGATATGCAGTTGAACTTTTGGTTAATTATCTGAACTGATCCTCTGAACTCTCTGAGGTTTGCCCATTGCTAATTAGCACCGCAATGACTTGTTCTTTATGGATTATGCTAAGGAAGTTTAATTTAAAACTTAATTATACTAGTTTTTAAGTGGCTTATAGGGAAAAAATACTTTAATCGGGAGCAGTAAGGAATTTTTCTCGTGTTCAGACATCAGTAATCTTAGTGAGGCATGTGTAATGTGCTTGAGGAGTTTCATGCTTGTTTTATTTGCTTAGAATAAAGTAGAGTAAGAGGTTAATGAAAAGTATTTTATGCTTATGACGGAGAGTCATACGATTATACATGATATTCCAATGCATAATAAAATATTATTAATACAGGATAAATACGTAGACGGCACATCGAATTGTTATTGATACAGTGACAATGATTGTATAGATTGACTTGTAATCCGCAGGGATCTGTTTTTTCTACAGGCTTGGAATTTCTTGTGCCGTTTGCCAATCCTGAACGTCAGCCTGAGCATCAGGGGCAGTTGGGATGACTCCGTTCAGGCACAGAGCGAGGTGCCTGTTCCTTCCTTGACAACAGACCCACGAGATGACAAAAGGTGGATCAAGCTACATGCTGATCAAGAGTATGTGCTCCAGATAAATCTGCAGAGATCCCAGATGGGGTATCAGGTAGATTATTTTATCATTTCCTTCTGAAGTGCACAAGTTCCAATAATCCATTTGCAGTATCAATAATGCTTTATACAGCATAACAGAAGGTTTTATGGTTTCACTATTATGTAAATTATAAACATTTTCAAAGCTTTTTTCTATGTTAATAATGAAGCAAATGCTTTTTCATGTTGCAATAGGATACTAATAAACTCTTACAGTAAAATCCTTGACCATTGAAAAAAATTCCCATTTTTTACTAACCAGAAATTCACAAAGTTCATTTGATTGGATACTATAAGCAGTGACAGTAGAATGAGAAATTCAAAGGTAGTATTTAAGTACTCGCCAGCCCTGAACTCCTACCGCTTGTATCCTTGCATATTCTGCTTCCCCAAAACAGTTCATAGGCTTCCATACCATAGTCCTGTGTACCTCCAAACTGCATACCAGACCTATAAATATGCTTCTACTTGTAACACATCCTCAGGCCTTTACTGAGGGTATTTTCCTCATATTTCACATGTGAAACTTATCTGAACAACTTCTATGTACAATTCTTTTTTCATACCTAATTTTCAGTCCCACCCCTTTGCCCAGTTAAAGCACATCCCATTTCATCTTGGGATGGTTCCCTTGCTGGGCCCTCAGCAAGCCGCCTTCATGTGCCAAGCCAGAAACACCAGCAGCTGCACAGGTTTCCAGCTGCTCTGCCCACAACAGGAGGAATTCACTGCACCCATTTGTACATCCTGGAAGAGTTAAAGAGTTAATCTCCTACATTCATATCCAGCACTGCAGCTATCTCTTATAGATGCATTTTATGTCATTTCATACCATGAGTGGCATATGGATCACCATGATTATAATTTTGCTAATGAATTTCTCTAAATTTCAAACACCTAAGAATGATGATTACTAGAATTTTTGTTAGGATACTAAGAAGATTTCAGGCTATAAGCAGAGAACAGTTTTAGGTGCTAGTTCTGAGACTCTTAAGGCAACTTCATTTTGATAAAAATAATAATGGAGATACATATGTTCCATTGTAAATCCTGAAACTAATTTAGATTAGTTAAGGAATTCTATATGAGAAGTGTTCTTCTTTTCCAAAAGACTTCTTGTCATGATTTCAGTAGGTTCACCATAGCTTCAAGGGAAGACTGTCACATTTGTAGGCAGGAAGAAGGTTCACATCTCCTCTGTAAGCCATTCTGTGCCAGTTACTGACAGACTTTTCCTAACCAGAAGCCAGAGAAAATGAGGAAGCAGGAGCATTTCATGCAGTGACCACTGCTTTATAAACCTCTCCTAGGATTTGATCCCTCTCTTGTAAGGAACAGCTGGATCAAACCATTTCTGAGCTTCAGTGCTATGGTGGTGCTTTTTCTTCTGTATAAATCTTCAGTAAAACCTTTCCATCTACAGAACACAACACGAATGCCAATTTGAGTGCGCGTTGTTATATCTTCAGCTTTCACCAGTAAAGTCAATGTCTTAAAGAATCACTGAAATAATCTTTCCTTTTGCTATATCAGCTTAAAATAAAGATTTGAAGTGCTGGTTTTGTCTTTATGTTAATCTTGAACAATATTGTTTAGCTTTAAAGACACTAGGTTTACAATTAACCCTTCTGCAGAGAATAGCATTTGGAATATATTAAATGAAATTACAGGAAGGAACAGTATTTCCATTTGAGTTTTAATAGCTTACAAAATAAGTGGAATAGTATCTCATATTCTGGGTTTTTCTCTGTGGACTGTGATTTTGGTTTTTTTAAACCTTCATCTGGAAAGAAATGGTTAAAAAAATACTGCAGTCTAGCTAAATTGTAGTCTTATGTAATGATACATGACAACATGGTTTTGAGGTGTTCTTCCTTCAAGGAAGAATGGCATTTTGGAAAGGTGATTGCTGGTTTTACTAAGCTATTTCTTTTCCCCAACAGGGAAAGCAAGACAGTAAAGCTGTGGCTCCTCGGTTCCCCAAAGTTAAAGATGAAGGATGGTTTTTGATATTGGGAGAAGTTGATAAAAAAGAACTCATCGCCCTGAAAAGAACTGGATACGTCAGAAATCGAAATACTGTTTCTGTTGCTTTTTACACTCCAGAAACTCCTGGAAAGTATGACAAATTTCTATAAATTAAGTTCTTTTAACAATTATCTTTTTCAATGAGTCATGCCCCAAGTTCCAAACTCATGATTTTGCTTTTTTACATTTTAGGTGTATCTACACACTGTATCTCATGAGCGACAGTTACCTTGGCATGGACCAGCAGTACGATCTTTACCTGAACGTCATACCAGCGAGTGCTTCAGCACATGATGTCACAGCAGAGGCACCTGATGCCATGAGTCACCTGGCTCTGAAGTAAGGGGAGCTGAAGAGTCCATTCACAAGAGCTGGTCTTCTTGCAGCTAAGACATCTGGTCATTCTGAACATCCAAAAATGCGTTTGCCTTAGTGGAACCAACTTCAAACCTCAAGACAAATAGGAAACTGAAGGTGACTACTGTATTGACTCTGGTATAACACAGAGTTAGCCACAGTGGCCTTACTCCTTTTTGAGGATTTATCTTTTCTTGTTTCATCTTTCTTCTTTCAGAAGTCCTATTGTTAATTAAATTTTGACACATCAAAATAAAAGACTAAAAGATATTGTAATTTGTGCAAATTTAGGGCTATGGTCTTCATTTTGAAAAGTGTTCTGTAGCCTGTATATTGATGTAGTTCAAATAGTCTTTTTTTTTTTTAATTTATAGGGAAAATTACAAAGTTTGATTCAAGACCTGCTGAAAGTATTGATGGATGTGTGATTTCATGTTTAATAAAAACATGTCCATAACAATGTTTCACATTAGATTTTTCAGTGTAAAATACAAGATAATAGTAACAAAATCCTCTTCTTATGCATACCAGATTTTGAAGGTGATCGTTTAAAGGAAAAATTTCACAAATTAATATAAATTATATATGCAGTAAAAGCTGGTTATAAAGGCATGCTAAATAGTATAAAATATTTCCAGTATGGCAATGATGCAGTCTATATGGATCATAATTAATCTTTACTCTCTACGTGTGTGTACACACATATATACATGTATATACATATATGCACACCCCATACGCACATACTACATATTTACCATTTATCTAGTGTTTTTCTCTAAATCTCAGAAGACTAAGGCATATAAAATCAGGTCTCCTGTTCTAGGGTTTAGTGCTAAAGTGGGCAACTGCATTTTGTACATAAGGGAGATCGAGTCTCCAAAAACAGGACTTACAAATGACAGCTTGGTGAGCAAGGATAAGTTCTGCCAGACAGTAGGTAGTGTCTAAGAGATGCCCAGCTCAGTGATAGTAGCATGGAGACACTTCCACCTGCAAGACAAATCCAAAGGGAGAAGACTACTCTTCTACATCTACACACCCTGACGTCAGTCCTCTTCTCAACCTTAAGGGGATTCAAGATGCTGAGCGAGTACCTGGAGGCAGCGTACTGCAAAACCACCATTGTCTTCACTCAGATTAGACCTCAAACGGAACATTAATACTTCAACTTGTTCAGCTTTGCATTTAGCTGGTAAACATTGCCTCTCTGAGGAGTCGTTTTACTATGGTTTCTGTTGTGTTTCACCAGATAAAAGAACACAGCAGAGCTGTGTCCTGGAAGCTTCCTGAAAAAAAAAAAAAAAAAAAAAAATTACACTGGCAGTGCTGTACCCACATAAAATCACAGAAAGGCTGAGTTTGGAAGGCACCTTTGGAAGTCATCTGGTCTAATCCCTCTCCTCAAGCAGGGACACCTAGAGCTCGTTGCCCAGGACCATGACTGACTGTACAGCTTTTGAATATCTCCCAAGGGTGGAAAATTCACCAGCTCCCTGGGCAACCTGTGCCAGGACTCAGTCACCCTCACAGTATAAAGATGTTTCCTGCTGTTGAGAGGGACCCTCCCTCCTGTGGTTCTGTTTGTGCCCATTTGCCTCTTGTCCTGTCACTGGGCACCACTGAGAAGAGCCTGGTGGTGTTCTCTTTATGCTTCCCTTTCAGGTATTTGTATCCATCAATAAGATTCACCCTGAGCCTTCTGCTCCAGGCTGAACAGTCCCAGCTCTTTCAGCCTTTCCTCAAAGAAGAAATTCTCCAGAACCTTAATCTTCTTGGTGGCCCTTTGATAGACTCTGTCCAGTATGTCCATGTTTCTCTTCTACTGGGGAGCCCCAAACCAAACACACTACTGTAGGTGTGGCATCACCAGTGCTGACCATCTCCCTTGACCCGCTGGCAGCACTACATTGCAGCAAAGAGAAGGCTGCCTGATTTGAGTGGGTCAATAGTTAAACATCATTATTTTTATATATATATACACATATGTAATCTCTAAATTGTGAGCAAAGTTTTTTTAAATAGTTCTGCATTTTAGTGTTTTCAGAGATCTTCAAATCACCTGATATTAGAAAAAAATATATTTCATTATTATAGATCAACTTATTGCCTAAGGAATTGTGACTATCGTAGAAAAAGTTGTCACCATATTTAGAACCTGCTTAGATGATACAGGTGCTGCCTTTGCCACTTAGACTGTATCAGTAACATGGTGTTGTGTCACACAGGAAACAGATTTTCCTCAAATTGGTAGGCAAAAGTTTGGTTATACACACATTTACTTAGTCCTACACGCATTTCTAAGAGAATTGTTTTCTGTAATCTGCCAGTAAATTTTCACAGAATTTAAGTCCTTTCTTTGGGAGAATTCTTGGCTGCAGTAATATATTGTCCCTCAACAATTTTAATTAATTAGGAGAAAGAGCTATGCCACAGTCAAACAACATACCAACACAGTGACGCTCACTCTTGTTGCTTTGTAAATGCACATCACCAAATAGTCCAACTGCAGAGTAGCAGACAATAGCTTTAGTATTCTGTATTAATCATTTAAAGAGTTTCTGCAATGTCATTTGTACCATCTGTACTTTAGTTTGGAAATACTGTACTTCATTTCCTAGCACGTTAATTGTTTTTTAGAAATAGTTTGGTGAAATTTCCAAATAACGTATTTGAAACTTTTTTTTCTTTACAAAATATTGGGTTCATTAAGAGAAAGTCTGAAGTAACATAGAATGAATTTAAGCAAATTGATTAGAATCAGTGTTTATCTGAAAAATCCAAGAGAAGGAATTGTGATGCATTTGAAACAGCTGCTTAGAAGGAACAATCAATATCTTCAATTCAGTGTTATCTAATGGTGGAAAGTGAGAACAGCTGTAACTGAGAACAAAAGTATGAAAATCAAATAGAATTAAAAAAAGAGGACTGAATACATTAGTGATGTAATTATCATCATAATACTTTGGTGATGCAGTTATCAGCATTATGGATAACTGAGCAAATTACCGGCACAGAGAACTTTTTAATGTTAAGGTTTCATTTGAGTTTGCAAGCATGTTTTGGTGCTGTTTTCCTCCCTGCCCCCTTCTAGGAGCAGCTGCGGTTAGTTGCCTGCCTGCTCAGGTATGATGCTCCTTCCAAAACTTGGAAAGAGCAACAAAACACACACAGATATCTTGTGCAGCAAGAGGTATTTAAGTCTGTTCTTTCCACCTTACCCTCACCTAATCTTGGTAATGGCATCTCAACAGCAATTAGCAGGAGCTGCAGGAGGTTTGGGCATGTACAACCATCCCCTGTCTCTTCTTAAGGAGCTCTTAGAACTTTACATAAGATTTCAGTTCCAGTCCAAACCATTCTATGATTCGGTACTCGGACTAGAAGGGACCTTAAAGATCTAGTTCCAGCCTGCCATGGGCAGGGACACCTCCCACTAAGCCAGGTTGCACAAGGCCACATCTGACCCTGGTCTTGAACACATCCATTGATAGAGCACCCACAGCCTCTCCGGGCAACCTGCTCCAGTGTCTCACCTACCCTCATAATAAAGAGCTTTTTCCAAATTTCTAATCTAAGTCTACCCTCTTCCCAGTCTGAAGGCATTACCCCTCATCCTACCACTATAAGCCCTTGTAAGAAGTCCCTCCCCAGCTTTCTTTTAAGGCCCCCTTCAGACACCGGAAGGCCACAGTAAGGTCTCCCTGGAGCCTTCTGTTCTCTAGGATGAACCACCCCAACTCTCAGCCTGTCCTCATATGTATCCCAGTGGTACCATGAAGCCATCTTCATTACTGCAGACCTTTCTCTCTTGTAAATCAAATCTTTGAAGGCCCCATTTTCACATAGGTGAATTCAGGGGTTTATGCTGCTGACCTAGAATTCTTCCTCATCATTATTAGTTTGCTTCTAGAGACCATCTCTAGATGCTCATCCTGAAGGAAACTTCAGGAAGTCTCTCATCAACCTCCATACCAGAGCCTAGTATAAGACTTGAACATTTACTGAATAGGCTGTATTTAAACAAAGGTAAATTCTCTATTTCCAGTTTTCTGGTTATGAGGGGGTACTTATAAAAAGAAGGTATCTCATGTGCATCTGCAATTGTACATCACAGCCTGAATCCAAATTCTATGTTCTTTACTCACTCAAGAAAAAGAGGCTTTGATTTTTAAGAGAGATTGATGAACTTGTCCAACAGGCTTCACGTCTCTATGAGGAGACTTATTTACTGCAGCTGGTTCGCAAATCATCACCCTCTTGTGTTGCCTCCACCCTTTCTGTTGAAGGTAGGCTTCCCCGTAGCTCTTTCCACAACTTGTGAGCCCTACAATCACAGCTGCTCACAGACAGGTATCCCTATTAGAGGCAGCAAATCACAGAAATTATTTTTTAAGCTCATCTCTCTGTGATGTGGACACTATTCCAGTCCAGTGTATGTAGTAAGTGCTAAAGCAGGACAAAGTAAGGTAATACAAGCAAAGCATATATACTTTCTCCTCATCCTAAAGATCGCCATAAAAGTCTGAACTAATGTTGAGAGTAGGAAAAAAAAAAGTCTATATAATTGTGTAACCAGAAAGCCAAGCCATGAGTGTAAACAGAAGCCACCCATGCATCCAAGTGTGCTTTACACCTCATATGAAATGGTAAATCTGTGTAAGTGATTTTTGTATAAACTTTTGTTTGTTTTAAGTCTCCTTTCTTCCAGCTAAATTGCACAGCTCTGGCCTTGCCTTTGCTGCATACATGCAGATCTCTAGTGCCATTTAACCCACAATACCTCTTTTGCTGACCACATACCCCAATAGGAATATTATCCCCAACAGAAAGCACACAAGCAAGATCCCTCCCTCCAATTCCAAATCACGTATGAAGGTTATGGGGTGACCACCCACTGGAGGAATAAAAAGCTTGATATATTCACTCACAGTACAAGATAAATTGAAGACAGAAGCAAATCAACTGAGGAACCAGGCAACCAGC